TTTGCAGTCTTCGCTGGAAACAATGCTTTATTCATTGGTCACAACACTCATATAATATTACGCAAGTCTGAGGGTCGGTTCAGAGTAGCTCGGTGGCGTAGTGAATAAGCGCCATGGCCCGCGATTGTAGTTGTTAAGCAACTTTCGCAAAGGTCGGGCACAGGATGGATGACCCAAAAATATTATCTCAAGCAACTCCAAGCTTCTGAAAGCAAGTAAAGCGATTGGTCCCAGTTGTATTTGCAGTCGTTAATTTCCTCCAATCCACATTGGGCCAGCATGGAGGGCAGTGGCCCATCCTCTTTAAACATCCATAAGGAAGGCCTGAGCTCCTGCAGTTGGTGACGTAAAAGGACTGATGATGATGATGATGATGAGAAGGGCCGTTCAAATCTGAGTTCAGTTAAGCACCTCACGGAAGTATGTTAGTAGATGATTTCCTTCGACCGTGGAAAGCCGAAATTAAAATATGTATATATTTTTTTTATATTAATAAATAAAACTCCACGTATCTTCCGTCAGACATGTACTGACCGACTTTTATAGACAAAGAAAGAGATCAGACAGAAAGCGCTCGGTCTCGGGAGACACCTGAAAAACGCGAAGCGTATTTAACGGCCCATCGCGAGGCTCATGCACTATAAAGTTGAATCTGAAGTATTTACATACATGCAGTATGGTATGAGTATGAAACTTCTTTTGATAGGGAAATGCGGTTGGTCTTTTAAAGACCTCGCAGTTTACACAATAGAGATCGAGAAAATAGTTTCGATTATCGCCAACCCGTGTTGACTTCATACTCCACAGGCGTACCGCAGATAAGTTTTCACAGGGTAAAATGAACTGGCTATTTTCCCACGACTTTGCCGCAAAATTATAGTCTATGACATGCGCGTCTGATGTAGCTTCCCGTAGGTCGGAATCGCTCCGCAACTATCGGTCCAGTAGTATTGGAGCAAATTCGATGCAAACAAACAAACAACCAAATCTCTCCTCTTTATAATATTAGTATAGCTCAGGTATAAGGGGTCCGATAGCGTAGTGGGTTAGCGCATTCAGTTTAAATTGCAGTTAAATAAGTAACTCAATACTGCACAACAAGGACATACATGAAAACTTATTTTACATAAATAAGTACAAACGACAAACTCATCGCTAGCCAGCGATTTCTTCCAACCGACCTAGCATTACATGGAAAATAGAACAATAAATAGCTGATTTTGCAGACAAATAATAATAATTTAAAAAGATCAAAAACAAAAGAAGGACCGTTTAAAGGTACGAATAAAATGCTCAGACACAAGCGACAACCAGAGCGCGAGAAACGAGAAAAATATGGAAAAATAACATTGTGCCCGCGACTTCGTCTGCGTGGGAAGTATTTTGGTAGAATATTTTTTTTCCAATGAATGCAGACGAATCGAATAAGATCAATGGGCCATAACCCACTACGCGGGCTTAATGCGGATCGGTGGGTGTTAACGTTGCCAATGCAGCCAGGACTAACGGCTTAATGTGCATTATGCCAGTGTTGTGCACAGTGCTCAAGATAATAATGTTTTGGTCACTCATCCTGTAAACGGTCCTTACGAATGTTATTTTTCCATATTTTTCTCGTTTCTCGCGCTCTGGTTGTCGCTTGTGTCTGAGCATTTTATTCGTACCTTTAAACGGTCCTTCTTTTGTTTTTGATCTTTTTAAATTATTATTATTTGTCTGCAAAATCGGCTATTTATTGTTCTATTTTCCATGTAATGCTAGGTCGGTTGGAAGAAATCGCTGGCTAGCGATGAGTTTGTCGTTTGTACTTATTTATGTAAAATAAGTTTTCATGTATGTCCTTGTTGTGCAGTATTGAGTTACTTATTTAACTGCAATTTAAACTGAATGCGCTAACCCACTACGCTATCGGACCCCTTATACCTGAGCTATACTAATATTATAAAGAGGAGAGATTTGGTTGTTTGTTTGTTTGCATCGAATTTGCTCCAATACTACTGGACCGATAGTTGCGGAGCGATTCCGACCTACGGGAAGCTACATCAGACGCGCATGTCATAGACTATAATTTTGCGGCAAAGTCGTGGGAAAATAGCCAGTTCATTTTACCCTGTGAAAACTTATCTGCGGTACGCCTGTGGAGTATGAAGTCAACACGGGTTGGCGATAATCGAAACTATTTTCTCGATCTCTATTGTGTAAACTGCGAGGTCTTTAAAAGACCAACCGCATTTCCCTATCAAAAGAAGTTTCATACTCATACCATACTGCATGTATGTAAATACTTCAGATTCAACTTTATAGTGCATGAGCCTCGCGATGGGCCGTTAAATACGCTTCGCGTTTTTCAGGTGTCTCCCGAGACCGAGCGCTTTCTGTCTGATCTCTTTCTTTGTCTATAAAAGTCGGTCAGTACATGTCTGACGGAAGATACGTGGAGTTTTATTTATTAATATAAAAAAAATATATACATATTTTAATTTCGGCTTTCCACGGTCGAAGGAAATCATCTACTAACATACTTCCGTGAGGTGCTTAACTGAACTCAGATTTGAACGGTCCTTCTCATCATCATCATCATCATCAGTCCTTTTACGTCACCAACTGCAGGAGCTCAGGCCTTCCTTATGGATGTTTAAAGAGGATGGGCCACTGCCCTCCATGCTGGCCCAATGTGGATTGGAGGAAATTAACGACTGCAAATACAACTGGGACCAATCGCTTTACTTGCTTTCAGAAGCTTGGAGTTGCTTGAGATAATATTTTTGGGTCATCCATCCTGTGCCCGACCTTTGCGAAAGTTGCTTAACAACTACAATCGCGGGCCATGGCGCTTATTCACTACGCCACCGAGCTACTCTGAACCGACCCTCAGACTTGCGTAATATTATATGAGGGTTGTGACCAATGAATAAAGCATTGTTTCCAGCGAAGACTGCAAATACCAACTTTGAAGTACGTATCTACAGCAATTTGTATGTTAAAAAAAAATCAAAAAAGTATCAACATAAAAAATTGCAATAAGAGAAAAAAAAAATATATATATAACTCGAGTTGTCTTTACGTTCTTAACTTCAGTTGACGTGAATCTAAGTTTTTTAACGTCGTGGAAAAACTTCTGACATTGTCTCTGTTACCTGGCAAGCAACAGGGGTGAGTAGGATTCTCCTCCGTGAACCCAACAGTGAGCTGCCCGGTGGGTCCCCAGCGACCTAGCCACCAAAACCCGTACTCTACACCCTCTCATGGGAAATGAAAACCGGCAAGCTATGGCTGAGTCACCAGGACACTCAAATATTGGACCATTGGTCCCCTTGCAGATGGAAAATTGGAGAGATTCGGGTAAACCGAGTGCCTCTCCCAGACAAACGAAACCGTGCAATGCGGGAGCGGCTGCCAACCACCTCCGCTGGCCCCGACGACGACGTGAACCTAATCTGATAAAAATATGCGTTCACTGTAAACTACTCGAGGCTTAAATGTATCATCAGAAGGCTCTATCGGCTTGTTCTTCTACTCGCGTGTTCGTCATGTCCATTATAAGCTGAACCCTATTTAAAATGATTGGCCATATATAAATGAGGTCAACTTACTTCGGAGTTGTTGTAAATTTTGGAATCTTATTTTTTAATTTGTCATCATACAAATTATCATTTTATACACAATATTTATACAATATTAATTCATAGCTCACTGGCGCTACGGATATGCGCCGCTGCGCACGATCGTTATTGCTAAGCAATTTTCGCAAGAGTTGTTCACGGAATGGGTGACCAAAAATTATTAAACAAAGGTCTGCAGTCCCTGCAGTTTGACTGTCAAAGAGTTAATGATGATGATCAATATATCAAAGACGAAAATTTAATAAAATAGTAAATATTTCATAGCAATTTAGGCGACCACGTCACTTCAAATTGACATAACGTTTTTATTTGTGAACCGATTGAAATAAATCTTACACTAAATGTTAACGGAAGAATGCCGCAATATAATAGTGAAAACTGCATTTAAATCGGTTCAGCCGTTTCGGAGATTATCGTGCACAAACGCACAGACAAACAGACAAACCGACAAACAGACAAACAGACAAAAAATTTAAAAATCAATGTTTTGTGTTCTATTACTCTTATTAATGTCCCTCATAACATTTTCTTTCATATATCTTCAATGTACAGACATCGATCGTTTACGTTTTTATTATAGTATAGATTAATCCAATCTATATACCGTTGGGAAAAATCCATTAAAACTTTTTTTTATTTTAATTATAACTTATAACAGGTGAGTATTTGTTGGTTTTGATAATCCCTACAATTTCATATAGAAACACGTTCCACTGTGCTCACGGATCATTTCTAATTCAAGATAAATTTTATATCGAAAATTGTTGGCGTATATTGCCAAAGTAATTTTTTGTTCGCTCTTAGATGTAAGCCGAAAATAAAAATTACAAAGCACATTCCAGGAGGCACAAAAATTAAACGAATTGCCTAAGGTTCTCTTTCATGTATGAAGAAACATTATCTACGCGTTATTACAGGAATGTCGTTATGAATTTTCTCAGTAAATGGCTACATTTTTAGTTAATGTGCACTTTGGGAGAAAAAGTTCCCTTTGGCAACAATTTAATATTGAAAGTAACAGTTTCCCAAATCAGTTCTGGCATCTACTTGAATTCTGTTAGGTTTTATTAGTAGTGCTGAAGATTTGAGAACCGATGGTCTAGTATTTAGATATTCACAAACGATTGTAAAGTCTCGCAGCCCGCCTAAAATCTTTTTAATATTATTGAATCGAACTTTAATTTTTTCTATACTTATATTATACAGAAGAAATGTTTAATTGTTTGTTTGCATTGAATAGGTTCCCAAACTGTTGGATAAAATTCAAAAACATTAACCTACGTGAAGCTACATCATCCACGATTCCTGGGATTTTATACCCAAATTGGGTTTGTGATAGACATAGATTTATAGAAATTCCATTGCCGTGAAAATGTTATGAATAGTAACTAAAACTAACTTTCCAATTTCATTTCAAAGCAATTCAATATCGGCTTACAAAATATTGTGTGGTAAGTTCAATCCGCCATTCTCATAATTTGTCTTAAGCAGTAATTTATTCAGCGCGAGTATTACACGCATAGCTTTTTAAGAATTTTTTTAACATTCGGCAGTCGTTCTGTAACAACAAAGCGGTAAGATTAATTACCCTAGAGACCTGTGAGATTGAGTTTGTTTGACAACTGTTACGTATCCACTCTACGCAATTGGCGATAAAGCGTATTAAAATAAAAACTCTTGGAAATTTAAACTTATTGTTTAGTAAAAAGTTGGTAAATACTTTATATTTATCATATCACATATCATGTTACTCTTGACAAAGTATTTTTAATCGATAAATAGAAAATCTTCGTTATTTGAATCTTATATTCCATAGGAACTTCGCACAAACGATATAAGAAAATCCTCACGTCTATAAATTTATCGAATTATTGACTACTATTTGAATTTTGTGAATACAGATAAAACTGAGACCGAATTTGTAACACTAGATTCATTTTAAATTAGTTAACGCCGTAATTATGTGCAGTAACTTTTTTTTATAAATAAAGTGCCTTTGTCACTTGCTGATAATGTAGTTTCATATTGGTAAAATAATTTTCATAATTCATCTAATAGTTTTCGATTGTATTTACAATAAACACACAAAAATTATTTCCCATTTAAAATATATTAGTTTAAGATATGCGGAAGTTAAGAAGTATTCATTTCGTCGTAGCGGAATCGTAGCAACTTAACGACTGTAGTAGATGCATTCTACGACGTAGCAACCCCAAATATTATTATCATCTCTGAATTTCGGGAAGGCGCGGTTAGTACTCCATTTAGAAAGTGCTCGAGACTGGCTTATTACAAAACTTTTGCAATTTATTCTTAAGGCGGCAGAATTAATAAGAAGTTAATTTAAATAATTCAAGAATAATCGTAAACATTCATGCTAATCTCGAAATGTTATAAGCCACGGTGTTAAGTTGAATGAGTTTCTGAAGTATTTTGATGTTTTAATAATTCACATAATAGATAAAGATATGAGAGGGAAACACAAGATATGAGAATTAAAGTGTCAGTGGCTTTTGAAGGAATACTAAAACATTTATTGTCAACAATAGGGATGATGACTAATTTTTGTTTGTTTGTCCGTCAGGTAGAGAGTTAAAAAATATAAAACACGTGTTTTGTTTTTTTTTTCGTAATCATAAAATTACGGCGTTACATTGAGTTGAAATTTCGCATGACGTCACGTTAGAGTACGTTTTCTACTCAACTGTGACGTAGCGAGCCCCCACTCCTCAATTTTAATGCCTGTTATCTAAGCTGTTTCTTGTTAAATAGAAGTAAAAAAAAAATACGTATCTAATATTTTTCTATTATCTGACTGACGGACTAAATAGAATTGCATTTTTTTTACCCAGTCGTCATCCCTATTATGTATATTTCAGTGAAAAATTGGTACCAATATAAGCCTGTGTTCTTTATGCCTGTGATCTTTATAAACAAAAACGTATCATTTTAAGTTAAGGCTAATAGAACAAATATAAAAAAATTATAAATACAAAATGAACGTAATATAATTATTTTTATTATTATATTGATGTTTTTGATTATAATATCAAATATTAATATGGAAATAAAATATCTTATATTTCTTACTCGTTCGATAAATGTAGTCCAAGTCTATTAAATAAATAAAAGAAAATAAGCAACGAGAAAAAAGTTACAGTCTTATATTTTATTCTGTGGTCCATTACCAAACTTGTCGTCCAATGCGGGTCTGATTCCTTAATATCTATCTATATATACTTTTATTAGTCTTTTTTTAGAAGCACGGTAGTTTTTGTGGCTTCTGACATCACCATCTAATAGCATGTGATTTGATTCGAGGTTTAAAACTTGTTCTTTTAAACACTATTTTTAATCAAAGATATTATAAGTCACGAAGACTTTTAATACAAATCGCAAGAATAGCGATGCAATAACGAGACTTCCTTATACAGTTTTTAGATTTAAAAGTACTCGGCGGATGAGATTTCTTTAACGTCTTCGCCATTTGGAAAAGATCCAAGAGCTTTTATTGTCGATATCAGTCTAACACTACCCAGCTCCTGTTAAAGTTAAAAGTGAGATATTTATTCAATATGATAATAGAGATTATCTCATTTGAAACAAATGAAAGAATGAAAGAAAAGAAAGAAAAAGTTTTTATTGGCCTTTAAATACATAAAACAGTAGAACACGTGCAACATTATTAAAAGAAAGAAAGAAAAAAAACACCACAAATATATATTGGGTCGCCAACCAGGAGGCTCTCTCAGTGATATCTTTTGTTATACTTGGATTTTTAATCATTTGATCATCATCATCAGCCCTTTTACGTCCCCATTGCAGGGGCTTAGGCCTTTCATACGAATAATTAAGGAGTATAGACCCTCCACGCTGGCGTAATGTGGATTGGAGGGTATCAATGACTGCAAATACAGCCGGGACTAACGCTATTAAATAAAGCTATTTGCCTTTCGAAGCACGGAGTAGCTTGAAATAATAATTTTCGTTCACCCATCAAGTGATAGAGTCTTGCGAAAGTTGTTTAACAACAATGATCGCGGGCCGTGGCGCCAATTGATTGATATTAATCACATAGAGTAGCTCGTTGGCGTAGTGGATAAGCGCCACGGCCCACGATCGTAGTCGTTAAGCAACTTTCGCAAGGGTCGGTCACGGGATGGGTGACCAAAAAATTATTATCTCGAGCTACTCCGTGCTTCGGAAGGCAAGTTAAGCCGTTGGTCCCGGCTGCATTTGCAGTCGTTAGTACCCTCCAATCCGCATTGGGCCAGCGTGGAGGGTCATGGCCCATCCTCCTTAACCATCCATAAGGAAAGCCTGAGCCCCTGCAGTGTGGACGTAAAAGGGCTGGTGATGAATCACATATACGTGATTATTTATGAAAAAAAGTAAAAGTTATGCATTGTTTCTAGCGTCGATCATTTGATGAAACTAAACTATAAGGAGCATGATAACTCCATGAACGGATAAATGATCCAAAATGCAAAATACCTCACCTGCTTCTGATTAAATATATTGAAATAAATGCTTTATTTGTATTTGTAAAGAATATTATTAAGTTTTGTTGTAAACGCATTTAATAACCATCATAGTTGTATTTGTTTACGGAACTAACCAAAAATTATGACGTTACTATACAGTATTTATATCGTTTATTCAGTCTCGGCTGTTAACAACACTTATAAAATCTAATTCTTTGTACGGAATATAAATTAAAAAAAGACTACACATTTAAAAAATCTGCTATATTATTTCCTTTATTACCTTAACAATATTTTCTCATGAAATAATATTAGGAAGAATATTTAATGCATAAATTAAGTACGGCGGTAGTAAAGAACCCACAAGAAAAATCTAAAGATAATTTATTACAAATGCTTTTAACTTAAGCACAGTTGACTTTGTTCAATTTAAGAAACAAAAGCAGCCGAGTAGTATTACGTTAGCCGCTGATGGTGTTCAGATGCGTCACATGATGTCGAGTCATCTCTTCGTGTCAACGCTCTCGCAATATGATCTCTAGAAAGTTTGCAGCTGGTTTAGTGTTTCCGTAATAACCCAATGGCATTAACAAAAATGTAACTAAATGAAAACAAACACATAAATCGCCAATAAAAAGCTTGTTTGATTTATTATCAGGATATGTCAATCAATACTTGCTCTTTGTTTCAGGTTATGGAATAATTCCTCTAAAAATCCCGTCGTCTCCAGCGACACACTGCACCCTACATACAACTGTTGGTTGCTTAGGGAATGACGAGTGCACAGCCAAGAGCCACAGCATCATAAGACTGCTGGGGCCAGTGCGGGATGTAATTGTGAGACCAGCTCGACACCATTACAAACCTGGAGAAACAAGTAAGTGTTAAATTATTTAATAGAAGGTAAATTAAAGCGTTGTTAATTTGTAACGACGAAAAGCCAAATGATGCAAAAGAAAAATTCATTTTTTTACGATTCGGAGAGTGCTTTCAAAAAGTTTATTTGAATAAAGAATGAATTCATTTTAAAGTGTTATTTTTTTTACATTAAGAACTGGAGTCCGCATTATACATTTAAAACTTACTGCCTCAACATTCGAAAAGTTTTCTGTGCCAAAACGTCAATATTTCAAGTTCGGACAACCTTGCCGAAACTTGGCCAGCAACTTTCTCCTTATTGTCCAACTTAGTCCGGGGTGTTATTTGCAGTAATTAATTACTACACCATACATTTCGCTAACAACTGGTTAAGCCACTGCTGGGACATTTGTTCCCCGTCAATGTTCCTTCTACGATCCTTTGAAACTTGTTCTTATAGAAATACTTGCTTTATCTTAACAATGACTATTCGTTACGACTAATTTGAAACTACTAAACTTACAAATCACTCGTGTCTTTGTTAGCTTTGGGTAACTTTAAGTAATCAAAGGCAGAGAAACAAATAAAGGTATTTAGAATAACAAATTTTACTCTATCCATCTTATTAAAGAACAAACTGTAGTACCAGATTCTTATCAACATACTACTAAAATAAGTCGACACATCTCAATTTGACGTTTTCTTTTCTGTAATTGTCAATTTGCTTTGGTCGGCCAATGGTTTAAACCCACAGAACATAGTTAGAAGTATAATGATATTAATTTAGTATGGGAACCGAGTGTCGCCTCTCCGCACACAAATACAGATTAGATGAAATGATCATTTTGTTCACTACATGAAAAACCGCCACGCGATAGGTTCGCGATAACATAAACCAAATCCCAAAAAGATATTAAGCTAAGAAATCACACGATTAAAAACAAACTCTAATTCAACGTGATAATAAATAATTTACTTTAACATGAATGTTGAACTGTCACGTGGCTGTATATGGGGATACCAGAAGGAAAAAATATTTTAAGATTATGCACATTTAAAAAAATTGGGGTCATCATTTTATGTGCGAACTATTAATATTAGATTTTGCTGTAACCAAGTGAATACTGAAAAATTAAGACTTTTCCCTACATAATTTATTAAAATATCTTTTAAAAAACGCAGTACAAAAACTAAGAAAACTTAATGATACACTCTATCGTATGTCTGTGGATTAATATAATTAAGCGAGGGAAAGTGTAAAAAAAAACAAAAATTAAGAAAACTACAGAATTTTTGTATTAATTACATTAAGCCTAATTTGTATTTTTTTCTTACTGGTATCATTCCGATTGTGCATATTAGTGATGTGACATATTAGTCGATAAAATAAGAGCTTTAAATTTTGTTATGAAACAGTTCAATGTAATTCAGTTCGACAATTTTCTACAGTGGTTTGATAGCAATTATTTAAAGCTTTATTCAAATAAAACGAAATACATAAAGTTTGCATTACCTAATGTGAGGCATGTTAATATACTTATAAATGTAAATAGTGAAAAAGTTGAGATGGTGGAATCGACAAAGTTCCTTGGTATTTTGGTATATTGATAATTTGTCAAGTAGACTGAGTTCTGCAGCATTTGCTGTTAAGAAAATTAGACTCTTAACAAATGTTGAAACGGCAAGATTGGTATATTTTAGTTATTTTCATAGTGTAATGAATGACGTATAATCTATTGTTATGGGGTTCTGCGGCTAGCATTCAAGATATTTTTATTCTACAAAAGAGAGCTGTCCACGCTATATATAATTTACGGTCTAGAGCATCTCTCAGAGAAATATTTAAAGAAATAAATATTTTGACTGTTGCCTCTCAATACATCAATGAAAATATTATGTACGCAAGAAAACATTACGATTCCTTCACAAAAAAAAGTAGGAATAAAAATAAAATTGCCATTCCAAGTGCTTGTAATAGCCTTCTTGCATAAAGATATTTTCATTTCATTTCATAATAACTAATATGATCATTACACTAATAAATTGATCATAGTCATGTTTGTTTTACTTTATTATTCTAAGTTTTATATCTGTAATAATAGTAGTAGCTACATTATTAATTGCAACGACTGGACAATAAGGAATTGCTGGTCAAGTATGAGTTTGAAAGCCGTGACAAAAAAAGTTTGAAGATAGACACAAAAGCGATAAGTACGTACAAACGTCAATCTACATATAAAGTCACATCCGTTTGAGACATGCGTCTATAAACTTATGTGCAAATATGGAGCAACAAAAAAACTGATAAAAGCTGTTCTGTGGGCGGTTCTTTAAAGTGGCTTTCTTAACTCGATTTCTATAATAATAGTTTCCGATCATGAATCAACATAATAAGGTAAATTAAATTGACGCCTAAAAATTAATTTTGTAAATTAAATTCACACCACCAACAATATTACGTTAGTTGAAAACATAATTTTTTGTTTGTATAGATATTACGTTGTTTTGAAATTCATTTGATAGGTTTAGGTCTAAAACAGATAGGGCAAAATTAATTATGTAAACAAGGCAATCCGTTGTAAAGTTATTAGGGAAACTGAAATATAAGTAATGCAAAATAAGTGAAATCCAGTTTCACCAGTTTCTAACAAGACCTATTAGGCCAACTCTTAGCTTTTCACGAAGTTTCGTTTAATTTATGTATTGTTCATAAAACGGTGATATACTTCGTAACTTAGATATTTATAGCACATCAGTATTTTTTAATATTTATCTGCGTGTAAATAATTAACTGAATCTTCGTAAAAAAAGTGCCTGGACAGTTCATTATTTCATTTGTTCAGTATCTGTTCATCTATAATTTTCCCTTGTAAACAGTATTTTTTAGTTTTATATAATTATGGCATATATTTATCGATAACGTTGTTATGAAATGATGAAAGAAAAGCTCTAAATAAATATGTTTTAGTTATCGATTACGATCCATATAATTAACAATACGATTCCGAGCAGCAGCAGCCTATCGGTACATTTCAGACAAATGGTGGCACAGCACTATTTTTTGCAAAAGTGCACAAAATGATTTACATTGCTGTTTAGTAATGGGGTCAGAAACATTGATGTTGGTTTGAGCAATCAATGTATATTTTATTTAACATTGTGTCAAATTATTACGTTTTTTTATATTTTAGCACTAAAATTGTACTTACCAGTGAAAGGAAATGTTTGCATTAGTTAGATTGTATACTTTGCTTTGCTTTTTGCAAGTGATAATAGCACAAAACGGCATTTTTTATAGAAAAAATCTGTAAAATCACCACTCGACGATTGACGAACGACTGGCAAACATAAAACCGAGGAAAGGGCGTCATATGAGTAAAAGCGCATATGCCAGCGACGCGTGCCCCGCCCACTTACTACTTCTATTCTCTCTCTATGTTCTGTGTTTAAACCTAATGCTAATTTTAGTCTCCGTTATATAATTTGTTGTGGTAACGGTTCTTTATCTCTTGTAAGCAGTTTATGTAGTCTATTTGAACTTAGACGCAATTATGATCCTCAAAAATGCGCATTAAACTGTAAGGAGTCCTAATAAATTAAAAAACAAAACGAAATACCTGTAATAGCTAGTGGTGGTTACGAAATATGCTGTTTCTTGTTCTAATTATTTGCGGGCGGAGTTCTATTATCATGCAGACGCTTAATATAATTCGCACTTAACACTCTCGCCTATTCTGTTTTTTCTGAAAATGTTGAGTCCTATTTCCGTTGCATTATAAATTGTAGAAAATTGCGCTTCGTTAGAGTCTTATTAGCAATTTCGTTTTCAGAGAAATAGAATATATCTTCAGGTGTCATGTATAGTGTCATAGTAGTACATGTAGCAATTGTTAAATTTTTTATCGCAATGGACCTCAAGAAAAATCAGCCTCGTTTTAAGAACAATATAACCCATCTTTTTATATATGATCTTTTTAGAATTCCTTTATAATTCATCAATATTTCGAGATCAGAGAAGAAATAATCTATTTACTTTTATAATCTATTTATGTATTAGGTATACTAGTTGTTACTAATGCCTAATCTACCTACGTATATTAGGCATTAGTAGCAACTAGTATACCTGCCCGATAATAACGTACCTCCCTAATAAATTATCGTAGTTCAAGTTTGAACATCTAACATGTGTGTAAGTCTAGTATGCCTAATTAAAAGCCTCCAAGTTCGAATTGAAGGCAATTTCTCTAGATTCTAGTAAATTAACATTGAATTTTTAATCGTTTTAATGTATAGCCAATATATACAGTAGGAAATTCTTATTTCGTCATTGATTCTTTGAATAATAACTTGGGTGGTCCCGATAGAATTTTTAAACACAGGTGTGCTAACCGTTCCTTTTCCGCTCTGCTATTTTGTAAAAAACAGCGACAATAGCAGCTGAATTCGGTTTCGTATGATTGAACTTCTAAGCTGTAACAACATTATGCTGGACATGTTATTTTTCTACAGAAACTATTTTCGATATATCGTCAATTACATCGTGCTCTCTCCTACTCTATGACATTAAAATATGTAAGTTAGAGCAGGATGACAGGACCTATACTTAGTACGTCCGAAACCAATACCTATTGGGCACAAGACGCAAGTGTCCTAAACTATTTCCTAATCTGACTCATAATTCTTTCATTTCTGTACTTACATTATATTTTTCAAAAGTTTAAATAAATGGCGCACTTACCATATATACTTTCTAATGGATGTTTATTATTTTTTACAGTTACCTTCTGGATCCTAGCTTTGGACCATGACTTGAGACTCGTACGAGAAGAACTAGCGTATGTTGCGCTAAGCGACCCAGCAGGCACCAAAGTCGCTATATGGGATCAACTGTCTTTAGATGAAGGTAATTTAATAATTTCTTATCTCTCTGATTTAAATTACAATTTTAATCTTCAAACGTTCCTCGTTGTTTAAATTTAATTCAGAATGTGGTTATCTAGTGGCCGCCAGCGACTTTGTCCGTGTTTTCCATTATTTCTTCGCTCCTAGTAGTTGCAGCGTTATGTTATATAGCCTAAAGCCTTCCTCGATAAATGGTCTATTCAACACAAAAATAATTTTTCAATTAGAATCAGTAGTTCCTGAGATTAGCGTGTTCAAACAAACAAACTCTTTAGCTTTATAATATTAGTATAGATAAGCCAAGAATATTTTGGATTAAATGTCGGATTAGAATACAACGATTTGAGTCTACTGATTAAGGTGGAGAATGTCAACACATAAATAAAACCATCAATTGAAATCCGTAACCGCGTAGCTTACATTAGCGACGGGCGTATGTTGCAAAAAAACGATCGAATGAATCGAAAATTATTCGATTGTCGATTTAGTAGTTCCCTGTCATGATTATTCGATAACAATCGTCTTAACTACTAACTGTACGCACACTATGTGATTACTCTGTGTTATGCGCGTGCGGTCGGTTAACTACGCGGAGTATTATGGTGTTGCGTTAATTTTTTTGCTTACTTTATTAGTAATTAGTTGGTATTTATATTATTATTTATAACAAGAAAGAGAAGTAACATAATACAAAAAAAACATGAAATACAGCCTGGTGACAGACAGATGGATGGATGGACGGACGGACAGCGAAGTCTCAGTAATAGGGTCCCGTTTTTACCCTTTTACCAGTACGGAACCCTAAAAAGATGTAGTGTGTTAGCAATGGTACATTTCAAGGTTTAATTGTATGATATTTCAACATAATTCGACGCTCGATAGTGTAGATACGTAACGACTACATTGCGACGATCGAATGAATGTGCCCTCAAATCAGTGTATTTACTACTAAACAGACTACTAAATAAGTTATTAGCGCCAATAACATAATAACGGTCTATGTGCTCGTACGCCGATTTCAAGGTGTCGCCATCTCTGAGGTCACGGGGTTTTCTATATTGTCCTGGGCTTGGATGTATTGGTTGGTACCTTCATTGTCTCTGATACACAATAATACAGGGTCTTTAACTCCTAATTTAAAATATGAGCAATGTATGTAACGGCTACCAAACACAAATTAAGGTTAATATATATTATTATATTTCTTTCAAAGACATTAAACTTTGATATGTCGAAAACATGGAAGTTCAAATGTTCCCGATCCTGTTAAAACAGTTTACGCAAAGTACTCAAGAAAGTTTCACACAAATCCAATCACAAAGGCTTATGACGACTTATCTCGATATCATTGTGGCACACTACACTGCGGGGTGTCTATTCTAATCTTAAATCTTCCCGAAACTCCCATGTGACGTCCTGACTGGCTTTTAAGAACACACTCCTTGTGTCCTTAAAAGCGTTCTCTTGTACAATCTTCGACGGGCAACTGAAAATGACACATCAATTTAGCGTAACACAAAGTTATCTATATTTATTAAAAATACCCGATGTCAGATTCTATTAGAACTTCTTGGAAATATTTTAAGGTCAATAATTTCGTTAGCGCTCCATTGATTTTGCTGAGAAACTTCATAATGTTATTTTTTTCTCTTGAGAGCAAAATATATTTAGAACTGATTTTACGCGTGTATACTTTTTGATATTTTAGAGCATTTGAATCTTTTGCAGACTTCGTGTTCATTGGACTGAGATGTTGATTTTAAAACTGTTCGAAATCTGTTTTATTGTATTCTTTGATTTTATTTCAATTTCAAAAATAGTTTTAGCCTTAAAAGTTTATAAATTTGAAGGTTTAAATGTTTTATTACCTGACCAAAGATACATGTACGATCTCGACCGCATTTTGAACTGTAAATAAGTAGGTAACGCCCGTCAGCAATATATGCCTGCTAGATAAATAATACTTTTTTGAAATTATATTTCACAATTTCTTTTTGAAGTGATAATTAGTGTTTAATCGATCGCCATAGAAATAGCGCGTACTCACTCATGCCATTTCACCATACTTTCTATTACCATTATTTCACCATGGTTTTACTTTCTTTTTCTATAATTTTATTGTAGTATAAAGAGACTCAGTGTTAAAAGAAGTTTAAAACTTTGCAGTGACTAGATATCTGCTTATAATTATAATTGCCTACAAGTGACTTTTATTATAACTCTCTTAATCATCTATAAGGTGTATTCCTCGTACAATAATTGTCGGTTGTGGAACGTCGAAACTGGCAAATATATTAATGGATATCAGGTGATCAACTGAATTCATGGATACGATATCTATCGCAAACGAAATATTATGGAAGACGTTTGACGGATTTTCTGTCAGATTTGCATTTGATCAATTGAAGCAAACTCGTTAGTGTAATGGTCTCCTACGTGAAGTTGGCAGTAATGTGGTGAAGTGCCATTCAAGTTAAGAAGAAGAAGAAGACTAAATATTTGTTTTTATAATCGTTATGGATTACTTTACAGCATTCTAATATACATAGAAATAATTATCAGAATGCATGAATTTTTCTATTTCAATTAATACATCTTTGGGAAATACTTGAATAATAATGATAACTTTTTTTTCATTTTTAAGATTAATATAGAATTATATATCTACTTATAAGGCAAGGGAACATTGAAATTAATATTTTAAGCCTATTTTAATATTCATTACTGCTTTGTTATTGTTTTAAAAAGAGTCATAGTCGAACGCGATTCTGTCGCAGTTTCACAGCCGGTTTCTGAATTGAGAACAATACGAAATCTTAACTGAATTTCTTTTCTTTCTCGATAACTTAAATTTGTTTACATTTCACGAAGCAAAAAGTCTTAATTTTATTAAACTACTATCAACTGGCTATTTAAAAAAAAAAACAGAAATGAAAACCTGTTTATGTGACGTTCAAGACGACTTAAGCACGATTTGAGACGCGATCAACTTTAAATTCTCAATTCAGAAACCGAGTGTCTGTCAAATAAATCCTAAACTTTCATTATACTTTTGAAGTAGGTTTGATTGAATCTAATTCTACGACAGCGGTATGAATGCATTCGACGCTATATTTAATATGCATAGCACTTAAGACATACTAAATTTGATATACAGATATTTTCTGTTTGAATGTAAATAACTACTATTTCAATTTACTATTTCAAAAACTATTATTGAATACCAGTGCCACTTCAAGATATATTTAAACAACTCATCCACAACGAAACTATTTCGCAAGGAGAACTTATCACGAAGTTCGACTGCGAATTTTCGTGCCGCTCAAGTTAATCAGCGAATACTTTAATTAAGTTCGTGTTCCGTTAAGAATCACTACTACGAAATTCTCGTGTATTTGAAATGTACGTTGGTATGAATTACGTGATAAATTTGTAATACCGTATGATGGGAAATGATGCTGCGATGTTTAGCTTTATTATAAACTATTTTTTCGCCAGCGGCTTCGCCCGCGTGCTTGTATAATACATAAAAACCTTCCTTTTGAATTACCTTATCTATGGAAAAAAAAAACTGCATCAAAATTGCGTAGTTTTAAAGATTTAAACTTATATAGGGGTATAGGGACACAGAGAAAGCGAGTTTGTTTTATCCTATGTAGAGATTAGTATTAGAGAGGAGCTGTACCTGCAGTAGTTACCACTGACCAACCCGCGATGTGCCCGTGGTAAGCCCATAGCCCATTCTCTCTATTCGATTCCATCCGTATGGAAGGCCAGTAGTGATCAGACTATTAATGTCCTTGCAACGGCGACATAAAATGGGTATGCCCATTAAGGCTGAGTAATGAGATGATGAGTATAGAGAAATTACAAACAGCCCTCTCTTGATATGAACAATAGCTCTTTTTTTTGTTATTTTATTTTTATTTTATTATGTTTGGATACAACATTATTCAGAATACAGTAACATTAACACTTAAAGGCTTATTAGAAGCTTACGCTTAAACAAAAATATGTTGCTTTTCATAATTTTGTGCTAGTAAATATATAAAATTAAATAAATCAAACCTTTTAATTAATCTAGATATAATAAATGCGAAACGAGTGGGTGCTCGCTACGTCACAGTTTTGTAGAAAATGTACAAAAGTATGACGTCATGCGTACATTATGTATATTATGTATTGCCGTTATTTATTGAGTGTGCAAAAAAAAAATACGTAATTTTTCTGACAGACATATAAACAAAATTTTGTCGTCATCTCTATTCTAAAATTTCTGCTATAGAAAAAATGTGTTATAACATTTACTTTATATAGAAAAAAAAAAGTTTTTATTCATTCTCTTTTTTCTATTTCATGTTGTAGTTATAATCTTTTTTTTATGAACTGTCGATAAATAAATGAGTCTCTTAATGGCCAAGAGAACCTTACTCATAGAGTACTTCCACAATTATCTTGCTTGCGATTTATTAAAAACCGATTTTTTCACGCAATTCGCCGTCTTTTGAGATACCTATCTCATTGCCGGAAATGGAATAAAAACAGTATTTTGGCTTTTTGTGGGTTTGGTTTGGTTTGTGGGTGTGAGTCCCATTTTGATGTACCTGAAGCTGATGGAACTATTGTTTTTGATTAAAGACATTTGTCAATATAGCAACGTGAAAGCGAAATTGATCAAATATAGATTAATATAAATATAGATTAGATTAAAGTTATTCACTTAATGCAGTAACAATTCTCTTTCCCATTTCACCTCCTTCGGCAAGATTTCTCAGCGCATAAAGAAATGTTAGGAATAAATCTGTGCCAATATATTCCTACGAATTTGGCAGAGTGCCTACTAGCGTGTAGTTATAGGGGATTTACTATGTTGTAACGTTTCTGGCTTACTAAAAAGTCGGGAATATTACATGTAAAGGCACTTGAAAAGTTACGTTATGGTTTTCAATGTGTCGACGGAATTGTGTACCTAATTTTTAATCAACTTCAATAAAAGGAGGAGGTTCTCAATTCAACTGTGTTTTTTTCTGTTTGTTACTTCATAACTTTTTACGGAGTGGACCGATTTTGATGATTCTTTCTTTATTTGAAATCTAGTGCTTGCAATGTGGTCCTATTTTAATTTGGTCCAGATCTGGTAATGGCATCTTTGAGAAAACCAAATAAGTGTTAAATTTGCTTTATGTATGCGTGATGTTTGTTACACCAAAACTCAAAATATCACTAAAACGCATGAAATAAAAAAATAAAAAAGTGGAAACGATTTCTAATTTAAAAAAGTGAAAAATAATCGTAAAAACGGTTATTTTTTTTAAGAAATATGGAAGACGGGCGGTTAAAATTTAAAAAACTACAGAAAACCTCAGCCCGTATATAAGAATATATATTATTAAAAAAATATAATTCAAATAAAGCTATCGGCATTGTGATTTAGTGGTCTAAAAAAATTTCCTTGAAATAACCTATTACGTGAGCTACAGGTATAAGATAAGTTAGGTCGGTTAATATTGATATATAAATATATTAAAATGATTGTTTTCTATGGGATTGCGATCATGTCATGTACCTTGTTCCTGATCCCAATATTTCGGCGCTGTTACAAGTGCCGTGATCACGGAATAACCGAAGTTTTTCGGGTGTCATTAATTACCATAAAGGCTACACATTCATAAATATGAACCAAGATCTATTTGTTTTACACATTGGTGGTGGAACAGTTGGTACTCTATACAATTCTTAAGAATTATGTACATTACCTATTGAAAGTATGAAATGGATTAAAATATTCTTATAATATTCATAATATCTCATACATACCCTGAACGCCCCGGGTAGTCTATACATTCCCTAATATTGTATTCGTCGTCGTCATCAGTCCGTCCCCATTGCAGGGGCTCAGGCCTTCCTTATGGATCATTAAGGAGATGGTTCGGCTGGCATATAGTCTTATGCCAGCCGAACCACCGAATAGCGCGAGATATTTTTTGGTCACCCATCCCGCGATCGACCCTTGCGAAAGTTGCTTAACAACAATGATCGCGGGACGTGGCTCCGCGACCGAGCTTCTCTCTATCCTCACAGTGCAATGAATAAATATTAATAAAACTAATATCAAATAAAGCCGCATTCGAAACTGAAATGGAACGTTAACAGTCTCACAACTCGTATTCCTCATAGATCTCGAACAAACAAAGCTCGTTACGTATACGTGTTCGTGCATGGTAAATGTCTTCATTGGTTTGATACGAATATTATTGCGTACTGTGCAAATGTACTGTCCTCTGAATGGAAGATAATATGTATTTATGGGTGTATTGTTGAAATGATGAGGGTCGCGGTTGGTACCTACTCAACTATTACTGATGAAATTCACGACAATGAATGTTTAACAGATTTTCTAACGAATGATATATAATGTACTCCAAAAATTGTTTTGGTATTTTTTCAAACTTCAAAGTATTCTATAGTTGAAACATGGTATAATGGATAGGCCTGTAATTTTTTTTATTACGACGTAAACACGAATTAATCGGTAAATAGAACATTGCAACCTATTTGCTTAAAAATAATATATGTTATCGATAGCTCAATAGAAATAGGGAATCTTAAGCAATACGAGGATCGGGTGTAAGACAACCAAAGAGTAAAGTATCTAAGATAACTTTACTGAGTATAGAATTTGAAACCATAGATTTATTATTTCAAATAAATGAATATTTCAAAATATATAAATCTATGATAATTCATCTGAGTTCAAAACATAATAAAAAATCTACAAAGAGTATGTTTATATAAAGATCTAAAAAAAGTATAAACTATGTCCAAAAAGGATATCCTTTTACTCTTTTGTTTTTCGCTGATATAAATATGACATCATTACATTTATGTGTTATCTGATGATAAACATATTTTGTTTTGTTATAAAAAGAAAACTACAGATTCGATTTCAATAAAATTTAATAGGGATCACCTCGGCCAATTAAGTTGTCAAATGAAAAATAATTATGTAAATGAATTCACAATTGGCGGAGTAATCGCGTTACAAACACAGAAAAAAAAATATACAGTCGAATTAAGTCCTCCTTTTTTTGAAGCCTATTAAAAAATAATGACTGTTCACAAAAAATAAAATATTTTCATAATGAAAAATGCTTAAAAATTCAAATTAATTTATTTGTCAAGTTTTTGGATATACAAACATATGCAAAGGTGTTATGGCCGATTCAAACCCTAAAAACCCTTACATAAAATGTCAAATTAGATTAAACAATGCAAATTAAATCAAGTCACAAAAAATGACAATTATACGCGTGAATTAGTATATAATTAGCATACAGATAACATTATAATCATCATTTAGATAATCTTTTACAGAATAATAACACTTGTCAAGTAAAAAAATATACTAATTAGTTTTGAATGAGCAGAGTCCCAATTTTCAAAGCATCTGGTAATTTATTATAGATTCGAACAGCCATGCAATTTATAGTTTTACTGTCAACTTGAAATCGTTGAGACGGGACGTATAATCTAAATCTATTTCGGCAAGTTCTGTTTATGACGTCACAATTTCTTTTAACAAATTCTGTATTTTTGTGTAAAAAAAATGCAGATTTCATTAATCTACAAACAAGGTAGCGGTAGTATATTTTATATTTCAAATAAAGGCACACATCTATCACGATACCCCGGACTACACATAGAACTAAAACACTTTTTGTACGAGAAATCCACTGAGGATCTCCACAGGAAACGTATCCATCATATGCTGCTAAAGTCGCCTGCATTGATGTTGTTTGGTATCTCTTGCAATGCGGGCAACTTTTTTTATTTGACTCTGACTCAAATATACAGATTAAAGAATATTTTTATCCTTATAATTGTAATAATTTGATATTTACACACTAATTACCTTCAATATTTGCATGCGTTAACTATAAATAGGTAATTGACAATAGTGATGCCTAATTATAATAAGTGAACGTGATATTGAAGATAAAATACGCGAATATATATATATAATATATATATATATATATATATAAAATCACTGTTTTAATAATTCATACAGTTAGGATGCGAAAGGAAATTTCCATTATCAAAATCTGACGTCATAAATATTTAAAATCGTACTGTTGATAAACAGGTTTATCTAAAACTTGTTCTTAGCTTATACGTGCATACGAAGAAGCCTTATACAAGCTCACAATAAGGAACTAACCGAAACGTGCCTGCCATGAAAGCTTTTCCATGTCATCTCAAATGCCAACCCCTGTCAAATTTTGATAGATTGGATTTCCCCTATATACGTGATTGACTCATATATCTGGCATTATATTATTGGGTGTCTTAAGTTACCTATATTGATTTGACAAGTGAAGTGACGTTTTAAATCGATTCTTTCTCTTTGAATATCGGTATGACTCAATTATACTGACACGTTCGTTCATATATCAACACGTAACATAAAATCTAATCAAAAATTACTTATATTGTATCACAGATATAAACGTAACTTCTTGCATAAATAGGAACCTGATGAAAAGTTACATAAATTTGAAATATAATAATTTATTAAGTATAATATTTGAGGAATTATCAGCGTTATTTCAAAAAATACAAAATTAATGAATAACAGCGGTTAAAATTTAAAGTGTTGGAAAATACATTAAACTATGCTAAAGAACTTGAAAGAATATTTTAAATAATTAATTTGAAGTGAGTAAATAATGTTAAATATATATACTAGCTATTTACTCGCGACTTCTATTAATGAAGTCGCGAATTATTGAAGTCGAAAAAGTGTGTATTTTGTTATTGGTTTATTTTTGTGATTTTACTATCTAATTAAAATCAGTTTATGAATTATAATCGGCGTTATTTTTTATCCCGAACTCTAGCGCTTAACAATACAAGCAGATTCTTATGATTGTACATTTACAGCGTACTGTAACTACGTCAACTCCATTACATTTAATAAATGAAACGTGTCAGTATATGTGACATGACAGCGATGCCCGCCATTGAATAGGGCTGAGGCTTGCTTCGGTTTGATTAATTATATCGTGGGACCCTCTTAAAAGTCACACGTCATAACCAGAAGCAAAAACTTTCATAGTGGACGCGGCACGCACGTCCTGCCACTCAACTCGAACATTCAGCGCTCTGTTAGTTTTTGCGACCCGAAATAATGGAAGTTGAAATGTTTTCCTCGAATATTCTATTGCAGGATATCAAATGGCAGAATGTTTTTTTGGAGTTTTTTTTTTATCTTATACGACGCAGCTCATCAGATTATCCAAATAACTTAAGTTCAGTGACTGATGTTGAACTTAAACTGTGCATTGCAAAAAACATTCGTATAAATAACCTTATTTTATTAACTATAAAAGAAACTAAATTCAATACACTCAAAATGTTACGGCCGCCTATCGCATACTTAGCGTTCTATTCATTATTCTCTATGTGGGATAATTAATTAACCAAATTAAGTATCAACAACAAACGATACTTAAATATAGTAAAAAACTCAAAAGACCATAACAGGTTTCTAGCAATATTAATAGAAACTTCTTTCTTCGGCAGGTGTCCGCAAATTGACTGCCATATTAGCATCGAGCGCTCATTCTGGCATTTGGAAAATAGAAGCCCGTTGTGGTGGAGGCTCAGCCAGGGTTGACTTGAATATCGGAACTGGAGTCAACAGTCCAACGTCAGCAGCACCAGCCGCTGAGCAACATTACGTGGAGTTGCGATTTGCTGACAGCATGCGGAGACGATATAAACCTGGTTTACCCTTCGTCGGACGGGTAAGCTTCTAAATTTTGTAAACCGTTTTCAAACAATCTTAAGGCCATTTTTAAATGCTGTGAGTAAGTGATTATGACAACTTAGTCACTATATGGCGTAGTTAAAAGACATGAATAATAAATTCAAGAGATTAATTTTGCTGTAGTATCTATGATCGATTTTCGATTTTTACGCCTAATAACTTTACTTCCTTTGGATAGATAGAAAAATCTAATTACTTCAACACACTGTCTTCATCATCATCATCATCACCGGCCCTTTTACGTCCCCACTGCAGGGGCTCAGGCCTTCCTTGTGGTTAAGGAGGATGGACCCTCCACGCTGGCCCATTGCGGATTGGAGGGTATTAACGACTGCAAATGCAGCTGGGACCAACAGCTTAACGTGCCTTCCGAAGCACGGAGTAGCTTGAAATAATAATTTTTTGGTCATCCATCCCGTGACCGAACCTTGCGAAAGTTGCTTAACGACTACGATCGCGGGCCGCGGCGCTTATCCACTACGCCACCGAGCTACTACACACTGTCTTAATATACTTTTTTTCATGAATCCCTAGCTATATTCGTACATGATTGTGTTTTTTATGGCTTCTGACAGCAGTATTTGATAACATGTGATTAATGCGTGAAAGCTGTATCTTGTACAAAGAGTTCAAGGGTTCTAAATTTTTACTTCTAATAAAAATTGCTCATAATTCATTTTATAATAGATTTTTCTGTTCAGAATAATATGTTTTAAAAGCCGTTATATACATCGAGTGTACTCGTATAAAATAAATCTCAGTAAATTATTCAACGACTGTCTGATGTATTAAAAGTAGGCGTCGTGCTTGGATTTGTTGAATAATCCAGACACAGAATAATTCGAAAGACTTTTAGTCTTTATTTTGAAGCAAATAGACTTCTCTCATCTTAAATATTATTATACGATATTTACAAAGTAATATAATATTTTTTACTGATATCTGCCATATTTTTTACTCAAAATATACACGATAATGTTGCTTTTTACTTGAACCATTGAGCCAGAAGCTTGTTTGACCAGCTATATGACCTAATTTCTACTAAAACACTGTTTCACCTGTCTTTGTTACTTCTCAATATACATTACCGATAAAAGCTCACCACCTTTTGTTGAGAATAACAAAGGTTACTCAATTATGTTTATAAATATCCCCGGCGTTATCAAAATGTACTTAACTAAAGATTTGTTCCTTATCATTCAAATTATGAATACAACTTTATTATAACACGAGATTAGGTTGTTAACGTTAAGTGCAGATTAACATTATATGAATGAAAAAATTTGGTAAGGATTTAAATTATTTGATAATTTGAAAACTTATCGGCGTTAATTGCTTATTTCGCAAAAAAGGTGACTGAGAACTTAGGTTTCAAATGTCTGAATTGTTTTCTTGGGGAAAATAGAAGCTAATGGAAGAGCTGTAGGCATTTCGTTCGTCCTGGTAGTTAAATGATTTTGAACATTATAATTATAGAAATGAATATAATTTAACGCAACAGGTATTAATGACTGCAGATACAGCCATTATCTACGAATTAACATTGCTTCCGAAGTACAGAGCAGCTCGAGATAATAAATTTTTGGTCACCCATCCTTCTGACTTTGCGAAAGCTGCTTCCGCATCGTAAATAGAATACGCTAACAACTGTGTCATAGAGTTCTTATGCAAAATATATTCAGTAAACATATATGTAGGCATTATATGACGTAAATATTATCACGTACTTATCAGAATAACATTTTGTAACCTTATGGATGGCGCCTGGTACACTCATATTCATTTATGAAGTCTTGGCAAGAGTACAATATAATAAATTACTGCTACAGAAAATGTCGACAAAAGCTTTTTTTGGTCCTTCCGTTTGTAGCAATAGAGTTCACGTTTCTATAGCGCACTTTTGTGTTGAGTGTGCAAAAAAGTCTTTACATCGTTCCTTCTTTCGTTGCTCTGTCTGCGTCATAGCTTTTCTATTTTGAATTGGTGTTGTTCGTATTTTTTCGGGAGCAAAGTTGTTGATTGATTATGCCCGCCATTGTGTGGATGATCGAATGGGGATGAATGATGACTATGCCGCGGAATGATATTGCGTAAGCGACATTTCCGTCTTGTTATGTAAAACGTTTGCGCGATGTATAATAATCATGAAAAAGTTAAAAAAATATGTCGGTTCCCATTTAGAAATAGAATATATAAGCGACCCGCGTAAATCGTTGTGGAAAGTCTTGAATTCTTAAAGTGGCCAGTACGATAAAACGCCAATTTCATCTGTAAGGACCTAATATTTTATAATGTACTGGCGCGTCAATAAGAAAAGACAATTAACAATCATATAAAAATGTCAGATTCCTAAATATAAAAGTAATATTTGGTTTATTTTAAATTCTACATAACTACCATTGAGAAATAGAATATATAAGCGACCCGCGTAAGTCGTTGTGGAAAGACTTGAATTCTTAAAGTGGCCAGTACGATAAAACGCCAATTTCATGTGTAAGGACATAATATTTTATAATGTACTGGCGCGTCAATAAGAAAAGACAATTAACAATCATATAAAAATGTCAGATTCCTAAATATAAAAGTAATATTTGGTTTATTTTAAATTCTACATAACTACCATTGAGAAATAGAATATATAAGCGACCCGCGTAAGTCGTTGTGGAAAGACTTGAATTCTTAAAGTGGCCAGTACGATAAAACGCCAATTTCATGTGTAAGGACATAATATTTTATAATGTACTGGCGCGTCAATAAGAAAAGACAATTAACAATCATATAAAAATGTCAGATTCCTAAATATAAAAGTAATATTTGGTTTATTTTAAATTCTACATAACTACCATTGAGAAATAGAATATATAAGCGACCCGCGTAAGTCGTTGTGGAAAGACTTGAATTCTTAAAGTGGCCAGTACGATAAAACGCCAATTTCATGTGTAAGGACATAATATTTTATAATGTACTGGCGCGTCAATAAGAAAAGACAATTAACAATCATATAAAAATGTCAGATTCCTAAATATAAAAGTAATATTTCGTTTATTTTAAATTGTAACTGTATTTATGGCCAGACTAAAGTATATATACTATTGCCAATTTATATTAGTCTAACCGCGGTACTCGAGTTAATAGCTCTCAGCATCTCACTCAGCCCGAAAGGAAAGATAATTTCCCTTAAAGGAAGACTGTTGCTTTCGCTGCCCTAGTGCCTTAAGTTTGACCTAAAAATGCTTAAAAAATCCACTTGAATTTTCATTAAGTATATTTTTCAGTATAGCATTGTGATTGAGAAATTGATCACATATAATAATAAATAAAGACTGAGTTTGAAATTGATATTAAGGTTAACAATAAGATGGTTCATTTAATAGGTAATTAATTTTTCGGATCGGTTAATAATATATTTTAGATGCATTCTTCTCTTAAAAATAGCCATGATAGAGTAATGAGATGGCGCATACAACCAATCACAATCACTAACTTTCAATTACAGCTCTAAAGATTCTATCATAGCCAAAACGTGAATTCATACAATTTTCCCAATAACATTTAAATTTTGATTTGAATTCAGTATTGCTGAGCGCAATGGAGATAAACATAGTCTTTTGGCTTTACGCACTCCTTTAAGTTTCGGAAACATAATTAACTAAAGCTATTAAGAGTTACAGTATAATAAAGCAAGAACATTAAAATAACAACGTCCACATTTGCCTCCAAATATAATTAGTCTCTGCGTCGAAAATGGATAATTACTTTTCATTGGCACAGTAATTCATATCAGAACCTCTGTCGTCGCAGGTTTTGGAGTTAAGCCAGGTCGGGTTGATGAACTTAATGACTCTATTAAGACTTGTCGCAATAACGTTTTCACAGCGACTCGACTCACTTAGGGTAGGCATTAAATGCCAACACGATTAGGGCACAATTCTTAGAAATGTATTTGTTGACTTATCTCTCACAGCCAGATACTCGTCACCGCTAATGTTTATAATATCATGAGTAAGAACATCACTTTGTTCTGAGCTTCTTATTTCAATTATGGCATTATGGGCTACGGTTTATTGTACTTTTTGTACTGTTTTATTCGCTGACATTTTTACAGTATCTGTGTCAAAGTGTATGACAGCAATCTAAAGTTTATTTATTTTATTTCACCTTACACGACAGCTGTACTTTTTCGAAATAACTAATAAGTTGTGGCGAATACTTCATTATATAATTAGATTTCTGTAGGTATAGTTGTATGAATACATATTTTTAATAACTAAATTATTGACAGCTATTCTCCTTACGTTAAATTGGCACTTTTACAAATTCCAATAACTTTAATATACAAAAAGGTTTTCAAATTGATTTTCTTTTGAAATACAAAAGTCGTTCTTAATGAAAAATGATTAAACAATCCACTTGGTCCCTGGCACCCTGAGATGGGGTTCGAACCCATGACCTTTCGCAACCCGGTAGATTGCTCTAACCACTGAGCTACCCAGCACCTAACAGCACTGACGAATCTTTCAAGCACTTGTTACCTTTTATATTTTTCAGCATACCATTATGAATGCGAAATTAATCAAATACAATAACGAAAGTCGTTTCTTTTCTTTCATAGGTTGAAGCTATGAGTACAGAGAAGAAGGTCAGGGTTCGCGTCAAACTTTATGACGACAAAACCGATATCTATAGCCAAGACATAGACATGTCAACTGGCGAAGGAGGTTTCATCGTCCCAACTGTCATGGCTGACGCACCGTTTGTCAACTTACAGGTAAGATTATTCATGGTAATGGTTAGCAATTGGCTGGTTGTCCACCTTTTTATAACGTTTTGTGTTGTATTTATATTTTAAGTAGATATTGACAATATTGTTAGTATAGACCTTAGTCTGCGATTGATATAATAATATTAAATGAAAATATAATGTAAATAGGAAATCTCCAGAATTACTATACGAATTTGAAGAAACGGTATTTATTTTTAATAACTTATACAAGTCAGTGTACCAAGATGATTTCTATGAATTCATTCTTATATATATAATGATCTACACGATTGATGAAAATCTGGAGACATATCATGGTAATCGTAATATAAAAGATAAAATAGAATGTTTCATTTCAATACATTTCTATATAGTTAGAAATACAACGTCGAATACAGCAGTAGAAACATTAGAGATTTAATCAAATAAAATCTGCTTTAAAAGGTATATTGAATTGAACCATTTATGATGCGACGGCGCTGGGTTCGATGCTGTAATTTTACAGAATGGCATCATTTTTTGCAACAACAACTCTTACACTACAATCCACGCCAACTCTGAAACTGTCAGTGGCCCTCACAATATAAGAAGCAACGAAAAATATACCATTATTCTTACAATAATACCAACATCAAACGATAAAAAAGAATAAAGAACTTCTCCCTTTGATATTTTATCCATACGGTAAATTATGTTTATGTCTTGAAAAAAAAAACGATGTCTGGTCTCGTTATACCGTGTTTGT